GGAAGAGAGGGGGGGGGGGTTGTATTGCTGTCTTAAAATAAAGAAAATATGAGAGCTAATGGTAAGAGAAATACTGCATGTCCAAAAGAAAAACATACCAACAGCCTGAGCAAATTGGTGTCTATCTTCAGACGCCAAGGAGCTACAAGCTATCCCAAGCCTTACAATGAGGCAAGGTCTGTGCAACAAATCAGATCCATGCCAGAACACCATATTTGACCACACCTCCAGCTCTTCTACTGAAAGAAATCTGTAACTTTCCCGCCAGCGTATTGTCTTCTTGATTGAAGTAAAGAAGCATGAAAAGTCGTTATTAGAAGCTGTGTAAAATCTGTGGAGTTCATCATCATTGATTCTGCATAAACACTACTAAATCATGGTCCGCTGCAACAGGAGAAACCAAGAAATATGCAAGTAAATATGCTATTGCTATCTAATAAGGCTGCTCTGGCCAGGATTTCAAAACTTGCCCCAAGAAACACAATAATACACAAGATCAAAATGAGAATACATTAACAATTGGCAATCATTATAGAAAGCTGGATTATCTATTACTATCTGTTAATTGTTGCATAATTATGAAATTCAGAAGTTGGTGACGAATATCCAAAGTGATTACATTGAATGTTATTCACTTAATAGTTAATAATGATTATTTAATAGGCTTAAATAAGTTTTTTAGTTCCAGTAAAAAAATTATTTATTTATTTTCCTTATAAAATATGTTAACATTGTTTTTGTTCATTGTAAAATAAGTAAATTTTGATTTTGATCATTCTAAAATACTTTTGTTTGTTTTTCATCTCTTTAAAATCTAAAATCACTATTTTTGGTAATTAATGATCATTGATCATTTTAAAGTAAATAATAATATTTGTTTTAAAGATCTATAAAAAATTCTAGAGATGTTATGCACTAATATGATATTACTAACAATTGTGAATAACACTTAAGATACTCACTTAATCTCTTGATAAACACATAAATCGACAAAAATAGTCATATAATAGTAGAGACTAAAAACAATAGTTCTAAATTTTTGATGATGAAAAATAAAGAATTTTTTTTGCAAAAACTAAAATCAAAACTTGTTTATTTTGCAGGGGCTAAAAACATATAACCGTTATTTAATATGTTAAACTATGTGAAAATAGACAAAATACAACTGTGGAATTCCTGATAAATTATAAATATCTTGTGCCACCCTTTTATTCCAGAAACAAGAGAAAGGGGTAGAATCTACATTATCAATATCAATGAAAACTACAAAACAACTGTAATTGTTGTAGGAACATCAAATAGCCTGGTTTTGAAATGGAGTTATGAGAGAAACATGTCTTAGTATTTTTAATTCATTTAATACCTTTCTGGCAAACTAATCCCTTGTTTTTCCAGCTCTTTCTTGAGTAGAGTCAACCAGTTTTCATATTCTAAAACTTCAGGAGCTATCTCACGAGGACTGTAAAAGGAAAGAAAAATATTAGTAAGAACCAAAGAAGCTGCATAAGAGAATTCAAGACATGAAAAGCTCCAAAAATAATTTTAAATTTATTCTGAAAAACCCGTAGATCATAAAAAAACACTTCATTCATGGCAAGCCTAGTTACAGAACAAAGTTATTGCTTTGGAGATTCATGTGTATAACATGTATTACCATTCAAAGACTAAAATAGATTTGGGTCAAGCCTTCACATGTTTGGCACTTTACGGATCAATCGAAAGTTCAATTTTATCAAAAGTGCTCATTTTTAAATGATATCAATGGTGTTCACAAATATTTATTTTGGCTCAATAAACATCAATATCCCACATTACTTTTTGAGAAATATATCAAAGGCCTCTGATAACAATAGTTTTGAACAAAAAAAGAACCAAATATGTTTCAAATGAAAGGCATATTTTTTAGGTGCCAATGTTAGTCGTTAGATCTTAATATCTTAAAATTAATTATCAAAATTAAAACACAAAAGTCATATGAACATTTTAAGTAGTTATGTAACTTTACATAACTTTTAATCTCGGCCATCCACAGATTGATTGGTTAATATTTACTCTTCTCACTCTCATGGAAATATAGTTCTCTAACTAATAGCTATACACATCCCCTACATATTCCGAGAACTACAGTACAGTAACTTCGCAAATCATTCATGTTGAAACAAGGGTAATACAGGACACACATAATTTAAGTGCAACCACCACCAAGTTTGGCAAACACCTCCAAGAAAGAGTGACCACAAACATCATATGTAAATATGGGAAAACAAAAAACTTTTTATTATAGAAGACATTTCACTTTGTGCGTGTGTGCACGTAATTTTATCTATCACATGATGCATTAATCCTGCAAACTGCATTAAGTTTTAAACAAAGCACTAAGCTGCTAGTCTTTTTTTCTAGAAGGTTTATCCAATGTTGTAGAATCATTAATCTTCCATTTTCACAAATTTTTATGGATCCATTATTATATTCTAGACTCCAAGGATGAGCACCAACAGAGGGAAAACCGGGAAAATGGTATAAACATCAAACACAAGATGTTATCTGGCATGCGAAGAAGTTGTCATTGTCAATCCGAATGGTCCTTGGTAGGTAAGACAAAATTATAACGTCTAACCGTTACATGATAATTAAAGGTTTTAAATGTTTTTCAATGTTTTCAAACAAATGGTAACAAATCCTCCACTATTTATATTTTTCTACTTCACCTACGGAACACAAGATGAATCTGAGAAATTATAAGTTATAAGCACTTGTTAATTTAAATATCAAAGTCTCTTTTACAGGTACAAGGACAACCATCATTTTGAAGATCCATCACTTCCGAGGACTCAAGAAAAGGACGAGTACTTATTCCCCATAAATACAATACACTCTAGTAACTCTCACAAAAAAAAAATCATTTTAAGAACTGCAGAATAATATAATAATGTTTTCACATCAGTACAAATAAATTTCTGAAACAGATTTGAATAATACATCTAGAAACTTAGGAAATAGTCCATTAATCCTATCGTTAACAAAATTACTCCAAATGGCATTATAAATCTGATTAATGTGGGATGACTCCGAGGCTTTTTTAGCTGTATATCAATTATTTGTGAAGCTAAAGGTAAATCTGCACGTTTATAAATTTCCAGGCAGATTAATGTCAGAGAACCCTACATTAGAAAACAACCCTCTATGTATTATGGACAGAAAGGTTAATGATAACTCAATAAACAAATGCTGATCTACCCATCCATCACAGTTCTTAAGAACATAGATGTTGCCATTCTTAGCTCATAAAGGCTAGTATTTACAATCAGAGGATACAAGGGTTAAATAACACAGGTAAAGCTTAGCATTGAGCTTCAAATCATATACCTTGTATTCAAATTAGCCTGCGCAGGAGATAATTCTGCCGATAGTTCAGAATCATTGGAATCAGTAACACAATCTGAGGTTCCATCACTACTTTGCAGTTGATCAGTAAAGACTGTTGCAATCGAAAGGACTAATAATGGTCTCGAAAGTGCCTGATAATAGATAAATTTATTAGCTATCTGTTTCATGATTATAGCAAAACTTTCAAATTAGAACCAGGGGTACACAAAAAAAAAAAAAACAAACAAACAAACCGGAAAGAGAGAATTCACTCATTTGATCCTCCTTAACCTAAATAGTAAGGGGCTCTGGGAAATATCAAATGGTACATCTTATGATTGCCAATGAAGACAGAATACTAAAAGAATGAATAACCTAAAACAAAATCCATGTCCATAGTCTCTACGAAGATAATAATGATCCATTTTATATAAAACAAAAATGAGGAAGAAGAATTTATCTTTGAGAAACTTTTCAAACATGCATGATGCATAGAAGCCACCAATAAAAAGCTTTCTTAAATCCCAAACAAAGATCTCCCAGAAGTGTACTGATACAGATAAAATGAGCCAATTTCTGAAAACGTCAAAATGATGTTCCTAGATAACTCACATTTATAGATAATGATTTTCTGAGGCATCATATTCTGCTGCTTTAGGGTTTAGAATTTAGAATTTAGAGTTTAAAATGATATTCAATTATATTTTTCATAAAACCTTCAGAAATTAATAATCACAAACCTGCATGCTTTTCACCAAACCCCTGAAGAGTGCCCACTTCTGAATCCATTTGAACGGTGGATAGACAAGAATTTGAAGACCTTGCAGACCTCGCCATACAATCGGACATTTACTCTTGGAGAATCTTCTGACGGTCTCTAATGCAGCAACTTTGAGTAAAAAAAGAGTGACACGACCCACAGTGCTGCTTCCAAAGTTACCATGGGTTAATGACACAAGGTGTTCATAATTTTTCTGAGCAAAGCCTTTAGGCCGTGATGCAACCAGAAGTTTTTTGTATGTTTTCTTCCCAGTGACAACAACACTGCTTTCTTTAGAATTAGAGCTCATGCTCGAGTTAGAACTATCCACCCTATCTCCCAAGTAAACTGAAGGCATTTCAGTTTCTAGCAAACAACAAAACAAAAAAGCACGTTCAGTTTCAGATGCAACAATTAATCTCAAATAAAATGCCTTCAAAGTGAAACTATTTCCCACACTTCAAAGTGAACGAGAACAATAAATTATTGCAGGTTTTTATCACAAGGTACAGAGCCTACATCTGCATAGCTGCAACGCAACTCAACAGTCGACACAAATCCTATACATGAAAGAGTTTAATTTCCATTTTACTCTATGAACCAATGCAACTCGTCTCATGTATAATTTTTAAAGCAATTATAAAAACTAACAAACTTACATAACAATTTATAATTAAATGACAGTTAAAAAACATTCATAATGTAAATGCATTCTAATTAAAATCTACATTAAACTGAACTGTCCACAAAACTTGTTAAAATGGAAATTTGAAGCAATAAAGCATATAACAACAAAAAAATATTTAAATAGTTTTAAAAAAAAAAGGCGAAACATACACGCCCTAAACGACAAAACCAAAAACCTGGATTGAAAAACCACGGATTAGCATTATAATTTGTAAAGCTTAAAACCACTACGATATCAAAATTAGAAACAACACAATGAATGAATAATTGAATATACAACGAGCGATTCTCCTTTAAAGATGCCAGCAATAATCGAAAGCAATAGCAGTGCGACTAATCGTTAATTCGATCCGAAATGTTTTAAACGATCAGCTTCGAAAGTTGACCTGAAAGAAAAACGCAAGTGTCAGGTTGGGAGATTAGGAGTGGAAGCGAAAGTTGATGTAACGAATTTTGAGGCTCTGAGATTGTTATTGATCTTCGTTTTGTTCGTCGCCGATTTCCATGGAATGCTCCTTCGTTAAATTTCCGAGTCTCGTTTGTCGCAGTGGCAGATCGTTGGTTTGGAAGAGGGACCGGAACCGAACCTGATTCTCAGACCTTGGGTCGCTACGTGGACGGTCCAGATTCGTTGATCGCGACGTTATTGTCCGTCCATCTGTTACTCAACGATCTTCATCTTTATCAATGACAACAGCACCCGCAGACACGCAAAATGCCACTCTTGACATTTACGTTGATAATTATTTCTACATTATAATATAATAATGATTGTTTCAATTTCATGTAATAAATTTAAATTTTTTTTTTTTTCTTGGAGTATCAATAATCTCCTCGGCACCTCAAAGAATGGGATAGCTGGCCCTAAGATTTAACGCGGCTGCATACACAAGGCAGGATTCGAACCCTTGACCTTGCTTAAGCGTGGATCAACCTCTACGACTGAACCACACGTTTGGGATTATAATAAATTTAATTTAAACATTGATTATTACAACCTTTTTTTTTGTTTTTAAGAAATACATTTAGACCGGAGTATTTAGCATTAGCATGGAGTATCTTTAATTTGATATTATTTAATGTGTGATGACAAATTATGTGGATAAGAATTTATGTGGCATATTTCCATCTAAAAGAAAACTAGTAATATAAATTTAAGTGCTTAACTTAAATTAGTAATATTGGTGTCAGAAAAAAAAAAAAAAACTTGAAATAGTAATATAGATTGTTCTTACCGGAAATCTGCTGTAGAGCTGATCCGCCTGGTAAGATCGGTGAGCCTCATTCACGGGTACGTTGGTTGCTCCAAGATGGGGGTGGTACCTGCAAAAGAGACTTCGATGCCAAAGTTATTCTTTGTGGGAGTATGAGTCTCGTATAAATAATGCACGTACCTTTGTGTGAATTAGGGTTGTGTTGGGCCTTGGGCCTGAGATCTGTTATGATCTGATTAGATAGTAGATCTCGTCTGGAGCGAGATCCCCGAGATCAGTTATGATCTGATTAGATTGCGGATCTCATCTTGAACGAGATCTCCGAGATCAGTTATGATCTGATTAGATTGCGGATCTCATCTGGAGCGAGATCTCCGAGATCAGTTATGATCTGATTAGATTGCGGATCTCGCTTAGGCCGAGATCTCCCAATGCGTGCCCGAGGTTATTCCACACTGTGATACCGAGCTCGAGCTCGGCATGGCAGTACAGATAGTACATAAATATAGTTGGATATCATAGATGACAAATCATCTTTGAAATGACCTAAAACTAATCTAAATTATCTAAAGCCTACCGTTTAACTTTTTGGGGAGTACGAGGAGAAACTTTAGAATATAACCATGCAACGAGTAATTTAATCTTTCTGCTTGTCTTAGAATTTTGTAAATGTAAAACAAAAATGTAGTTAATAATTCTCATCAGTCTATGATGTAAAGGGAAAAAAAACTCGTTTGATATACTCTCTTAGTCGTTGATGTTGATATCAATATCTAAAAGAAATATTTATATCAAATGTAAGTAGATGTTTTATTAAATTTATTAATATAAAAACTATACTAGTAAATATTTGTATTGTTCTTCAGATTATGTAAAATAAAAGAGAAATAGGGAATAATTGGGTTGTAATTTTATTACAAAGGTAATATATACACAAATATGTATCTCCAATTTGATGATTATGTTCCTATAATTACGTTGATGATTCTGTTCCTATAATTAAGCTATTCTGATATTATAGTTTCCATATTTTTAGTAAAAATCATAGGATACAATTATCTTTCCTAACACTCCCCCTCAAGATGGAGAGTGAATGTCATGAACTCCCAACTTGCTCTTCATTGTAAGAAAAGCTTCCTTCCCTAATAGTTTAGTAAACACGTCGGCAATTTGTTCCGCTAAAGGAACATACTCCGTTGCAACTGAGCCATCTTGAATTTTTTCACGAATAAAATGGTAATCTATCTCTATGTGTCGGGTTCTTTCATGAAATACCGAATCAGACTCAATGTGAAGAGCTGCTTTATTATCACAATACAACAATGCTGCCTTTGAGTGCAATATCTCTAAATCCTTCAATAGTGATCGTAGCCAAGACAACTCACAACATGCACCTGTCATAGCTCTATATTCAGCTTCAGCTGATGATAGAGAAACTGTCTTCTATCTCTCTGTTCTCCAAGAAATTAGTGATGATCCTAAGAATACACAATAACCTGTAGTTGATTTTCTTGATATTAGGCAACCTCCCCAATCGGAATCGCAGAAAACACGCAAAGATAGATCATTTTGGGAAGAGAAAAATAAACCTTGACCTGGATTGTTCTTTAGATACCACAATATTCGCATGGCAGCTTCCATATGAGGTTTACGAGGAGCATGCATGAATCTACTCAATATGTGCACTGAGTAAGTGATATATGGACGGGTAACAATCAAATAAATCAGGCGTCCTACAAGTCGCCTATATGAGGATGGATCTTTCAATAAATCTCCTTCATCTGACAATTTTACATTTTGCTCCATGGAAAAATTCACAAGCTTAGCTCGCAAACATCCTCCATCTTTTAGAATCTCTAGAACATATTTTCTTTGCGAAATAAATATACCTTTCTTTGACCGAGAAACCTTCATGCCCAAAAAATACTTTAAGCCACCTAAATCTTTAATATGGAATTGATTATGCAAAAAAAGTTTAAGAACAGCTATGGTGTTGGGATCATTACCGGTTATGATGATGTCATTGTTAAGTCTCAATTTTACCTCTTTTTGGATGAGACTTATTGAACGAATTCCACTCATCCTCTGAACCATTGCAATATAATTGTTCTCTTTTTGGTTCATTTTGTGTGCAGATATAACTAACCCAAATTTAGCTAACAATACCTTAATACACCTCATTTTTTGTGCAGGTATTGAGCTAGGGACTTGAGGATTGAAGATCCATAGGATTGGAAACTAAAGAGGCTAAGGAGCAGAGAAGAAATTGCGCCAGGCGCAAGATGACTCGCGCCGGGCTTGAGAAGAACAGAGCCTGGAAGCCATGGCGCCGGGCGAGAGAATACACGCGCCGGGCGTGGTCGAGACAGAGAGTGCTTGAAACTCTCTGGAAGACATCGCGCCGGGCGTAAAAGGAAATTGCGCCGGGCTTACACTGAGGCAGAAAGTGCACAGAAGAGTACGCGCCGGGCGCGAAGACTTACACGCCGGGCGCGAAACCCTAATCTGATCTCCCTGGCTCGTATTTGAAGCCATTTTCGGGGGAGAAACCCCCATTCTCACATTGGGCGCCTCTAGGAGCTGCGGAAGGGATTCCCAGGGCTTGGGATCGTCCGTGTGCGGATCTTTCCTTCGGTTCTTCACTTCCTCTTCCATCTCTATTTTGTATTTGCCCTCTTTGTTGAGTGGTTTCACCCATTTTGTGGGGTTAGATGTAACCAACGTACTCTATTGTAATCTTTACGGTTTTAATGATATATATACATGTTGTTTTATTCTTTGTTGTGTTTGTTTCTATTCTTAATGCTTGCTTTGGATTGATCACCCTTTGCATGATTTAAGGTTCCATGGGTATTGGAAAATAACCTTTGAAACTAGTTCTGAAACATATGCCTAGTGGTGATTGTATCTAGGGATAGAGCTTGACCCATTAGTAGTCTTAAACCCTAGCCCGTAATGCGGGTGTAGATATTGGGTACTCAAGGGATTGATATTCAATATCCGCACCTAGGCTCTTTCTCTAAGGGATTAGGTTTGAGTAAACTCTTGGGTTGACTAAGCAATGAATTCAACAAGAGATTAAGGATACATTAGTGTTACGTTTGGTGAAATCTGACCCCCACAACCTCACAATACCACAATACCATTCCTTACCTTTTTCACTCACAAAACAATATTTATTTACAGCTTTCATTCCAATAGTCACAACTTTGAATTCACTGCACAAACTATGAAATTGGAATTATTCTTTAGTCACGAATAGTCAATAAATGCTTATATTACCTTTTAATCCCTGTGGATACGATATTTTTACTACTTGAACGGCCGATATACTTGCCGTGTTTGAGACCGTTGATTGAATCAAACTGATTTACAATTATAACAAAAGTACTTCAACGGAAATCTCAACAGTCATCAACATAGATCAATAAGGCAGTAAATGATTTGTCTTTCTTACATGTAAACAATGAGTAATCTGATTTGGACTGAATAAATCCAGCACCTTGAATAGCTGTAGAGAACTTGGCAAACCATTGACGAGAGGCTTGTTTTAATCCATATAAGGATTTGTTAAGACGACACACAAGATTCTCCTCCTGTCATTGAAAACCAGGAGGAAGAGACATATAAATTTCTTCAAAGAGATCTCCGTGAAGAAAAGCGTTGTTGACATCAAGTTGATGAAGTGACCAATTTTGAGCGGCTACCAAAGCTAATAAACAACGTATTGTGACCATTTTAGCAGTCAGTGAAAAAGTATCATGGTAATCAATACCTTCAACTTGTGTGTAACCTTTTGCTACTAATCGCGCTTTATAGCGTTCAAAAGAACCATCGAAGTTGCGCTTGATTTTGTATACCCAATGACAACCGATAGCTTGCTTTCCCGGAGGAAGGGGTGTGAGGAACCAAGTGTTGTTGGCCTCTAAAGCAGCCAATTCAGATTGCATTGCTATTTTCCAATGAGAGTGCGAGGCAGCTTGTTCATAACATGTAGGGTCAACATCATTAGTAATAGTAGCAATAAAGGATCTATGTTGTGGTGAGTAACGATCATAAGAGGTAAAATTGCAAATAGGGTATCGAGTACCTTGACTTGGAAAAGATGACGAATGACAATGATTCGGGATAACTTACTTGATTACAAACATAGTCATTCAGGGCTATAGGGCGAACATGAGTTCTTTGAGAACGACGCAAAGGAATTGTTGGAGGGATGGTAGGGGCAGATTCTGCATGTGTTGGCTGGATGGGTGATGAATCTGGGACAACAACAGGTATGACAAAATCTTTTTTAGGTGGAGAAGAAGAGATGGATTCGTAGGGAAAAATATCTTCGTGGAAAATAACATCACGACTAGTGAAGACTTGATGAGAATCGATGTTATACAATTTGTATGCTTTCTGACCAACTGGATAACCAAGAAAAATACATTGAGTGGCTCGAGGAGCAAACTTATGAGACACATGAACATTTGTAGCATAGGCTACGCATCCAAAAACTCTTAGGTG